CAGAGCTCTCCCCCAGAGCTCTCCCCAGAGCTCCTCCCCAGAGCTCTCCCCCAGAGCTCCCCTCCAGGGCTTCCCCCCAGAGCTCTCCCCCAGAGCTCTCCCCCAGAGCTCTCCCCCAGAGCTCTCCCCCAGAGCTCTCCCCAGAGCTCTCCCCCAGAGCTCCCTCCCAGAGCTCTCCCCCAGAGCTCTCCCCCAGAGCTCTCCCCCAGAGCTCTCCCCCGGAGCTCTCCCCCAGAGCACTCCCCCAGAGCTCTCCCCAAGAGCTCTCCCCCAGAGCTCTCTCCCAGAGCTCTCCCCCAGAGCTCTCCCCCAGAGCTTTCTCCCAGAGCTCTCCCCCAGAGCTCTCCCCCAGAGCTCTCCCCCAGAGCTCTCCCCCAGAGCTCTCCCCCAGAGCTCTCCCCCAGAGCTCTCCCCCAGAGCTCTCCCCCGGAGCTCTCCCCCAGAGCTCTCCCTCCAGAGCTCTCCCCCAGAGCTTTCTACCAGAGCTCCCTTCCAGAGCTCTTGGCGTGAAGGAGCCCCCAGAGGATCGTTCCCAGGGTAGTGAACAAAACATATCCTCAAGAGCGTGCGCAGACCTCTCTGGGAGAGCTAAACCAAGGAAAATTACCGATATACCGGATTCACATTCCCCCGGGCTCCGGCGCGGTGCCGGCTCGGGCTCTGATTCCGGATCGGGCTCCGAACTTGGGCGAAACTCCGAGCTCGGGCTGGCTCGGTGGGCGACTGTGGCGCCGGTCTGCGTTCTCCTGTGGGCTTGGTTTGTGTCCCTTGGGTGCTCCTTTGGCCGCAGACTCTCTCAAGGGTGTCTGTTTCGAGCTCCCTTGAATGCCGTTTCGGCCGCGGGCTCTCTCAAGCGTGTCTGTTTCGAGCTCCCTTGGGTGCTGCTTCGGCCGCGGGCTCTCTCAAGCCGTCTGTTTCGAGCTTCCTTGGGTGCTGCTTCGGCCGCGGGCTCTCTCAAGCGCGTCTGTTTCGAGCTCTTTTGGGTGCTCCTTTGGCCGCGGGCTCTCTCAAGGGTGTCTGTTTCGAGCTCCCTTGGGTGCTGTTTCGGCCGCGGGCTCTCTCAAGCGTGTCTGTTTCGAGCTCCCCTGGGTGCTGCTTCGGCCGCAGGCTCTCTCAAGCCGTATGTTTCGAGCTCCCTTGGGTGCTGCTTCGGCCGCGGGGCTCTCTCAAGCGCGTCTGTCTCGAGCTCCCTTGGCTGCTCCTTTGGCCGCGGACTCTCTCAAGGGTGTCTGTTTCGAGCTCCCTTGAGTGCTGTTTCCGCCGCGGGCTCTCACAAGCGCGTCTCTTTCGAGCTCCCCTGGTGTGCCATCCCGGTCTACGGGATTATCAAGCGCGTCGCGGTGGAGCCCATTTGGTGCTGCTGCGGCCGGGGGGCTTTTCTACAAGCGGTCTGTTTCGTGCTTCCCTGGGTGCTCCTTTGGCCGCAGACTCTCTCAAGGGTGTCTGTTTCGAGTCCCGTGGGTGCTGTTCGCCGCGGAATCTCTCAAGTGTGTCTGTTTCGACGCTCCCCGATGCTCGCTTCGGCCGCGGGCTATCTTCTCAAAC